ATAAACTCCTTTTGGTCATGACATATGATTCTTTTTAAATATTGCTGAATTAAATTTGCTAAAAATTTGGTAGGATTTTTGTGTCTATATTCGTAAGAAAGAATGACTTGTATCCTTTCTTGTATTGTCCTTATTGGGTTTCAGTATCATTAAAGAGTGTCCCAAAAGTCTCCATACAAAGGAAAAATGTCATAATGAATTTTTCTAAATAAAGGTACAATTAGCTACAATTTCCCATTTTCGCTATGTGTGGTGACTTTTGGGACACCCTGTATTTTATTGGTCTCATAAAATAAGTTGGGAAATGTTTCATATTTGTTCTCTGGAATAATTTCTATAAGATTAATGTTATTTCTCCCTTTATTGGAAGAATTCAAATAATTCCTTTGTGGGAGGAACTTTAATTATAGAATGAGTATTTTTAATATCATAGGATAGGTCTATATCAATTTTATATTTGTTTCAGTTTTGCTAAATTGTGTTTTGCAAGAAATTGTGCTTAATTTTCAGAATCGTTGGCATGAAATTATTCATAATCTCTTATTAATGTATGAAGTCTCATCTCTTATTATCACATTACTGTTTTTATCTGTTCTTTATTGATATTGCTAGATTCTTTTGCCTCTTTTTATCCTTGATTAGTCTTACTAGAATCATACTAATTTTATTCTTCTGGAAAAAAATAACTTGATTTTGTTCAGCTTTTAAGTTATCCTGTTAGATATGCATACTTAGATGATTGATTTTTAATCTTCATTTCTAATACACACTTATAAATGTATAGATTTTAATGTAAACACAGCTCTGCATTCATAGTTTTGGAATTTATTTTCACTGTATCATTCAATTCAAAATGCTTTCAGTTCCTTTTTGACTGCTGGGTTACTTGAAATATATTGCTTCATTTTCAGACAATGGAGGATTTTTTAGTTACCATTTTATAATTGTGGTCTAGCCTAATGTTAGACACAGAATATACTCTGAATAATTTTAGTTCTTTGGTATTTATTGAATCTGGCTCTTTAACTCAGCATATGACCAATATTAGAAAATAGTTCATGTGCACTTGCAACAATTATGTGTTATCCTATTGGGTATAGTGTCAATTTCTATTAATATGTTACTTAAATCGAGTTTTTTAATTGTGCTGTTCAGATCTTCTGTGTGGTACCAAAAGTTAGAAGGGTATACTCAAGTATACTCAGAAGTGTCATCCCATACCACACCCCCCATTCCTGCCACTTCTATCTTGGTCCTACTTCCCCCATGTGCAACCAGTATCACTGGTCTCCCATTTCTACTTTGTGGGGTTATTTTGCCCATATGAGCAGATAAATTTATATTTTCTTATTTCTCCCTTCTTTTATACAAAGGATATACTATGGCTATCTTTTGCACTTTGAGTTTTTTTTTTTTTTTTGAGACAGAGTCTCACTGTGTCGCCCAGGCTAGAGTGCCATGGCATCAGCCTAGCTC